AAAGTATAACATTACCGTGACACAGTTCACGTAACCGGGTTGTTTTGGTAATGTCCAGTCCAGATATAGATCACTGGAATGGAGTCGAGGATATCGGCCTCATGCTGAAAGAAATAAGTGCTCTCAAAAGATTGTGAGTACAAAGACAGGACTCGTGAAATATACAGTGAAATCCACAATTGTCGCTGACTTTCACACTTGGAGTTTTTGTGTGGAAAAACTCTAAGGAATGAATCTATTATCATTAATATGATGTAAAGATAATGTACAACATGATATGAGGCTGAGGGACAGGCAAAAAAAAGGTTAAAGAAACATGTACCAGGAATTGATAGTGGTTGACAACAGCGATAACCATTTTAAGTTTTTCGCTCCTATGACAACGAGTCAAGTGTTGATGCCAAACACACTGACACAGAGTTATGCGTTGTAAAGGAGAAAGTCCGGAATTATGTAGAAATGCTTGAAGCATAAAAGCAACAGACAAGTGTTTTGCAGATCTGCTTATTAAAGGCTTACCGCCCAGTGTGTTAGGAGAACACACAGTCGACATGGGTTTTATGGTATAGTCTAAGATTTCCGAACAATAAAAGGGCCCAAGGTTAAAGAAATTGTTTCAAAACAGAGGTGTGTGTTGTAGGTGTTGATTCTATCGAGATAGGCCGTGATGATGAGACATGCTCTACATGCAAATCTGTGATGGAATGAGTACTTTGAAAAGAGTTATTTCAAAGTATAAAGTTAAAAGTATATGATGAGATCAAGGGGGAGAATGTTAGATTGATCTCTCCACCAATGGGCCCAACGGCTCATTGGGCCCTTGACCCACGCCCTGATCGGGGGCGTCCAGCCCAAGCAAGGCTGGTGGGCCCCTGTCGCGCAGTGCTATAAAGAGGAGGTGGGGACCAGGGGCACAGAGTACGAGGTTCGTCGCCGCCACTGTTCCCCACTTCTAACCCTAATCCGATCCAGAGGGAGGCACTGAAGCGACGGGAAGCGCCACCAGCCACTCCACCACAGCCACTGCCTCATCACCGCCGTCACCACATCACCATGACCTCCGGCTCAAGCTCGTCAGGTCAAGGAGAGGTAATACTCTACGCCTCACTACCGGAAATCACTGACCCATACGATCTAGTGGCCTAACAGGTAGTTCGTTCCCGTAGCTCTGTGTAGTTGTGTTTTTCTGTTTGAGAAGTTAGATGTGCGTCGTCGCAGCTCTTGCGGCGTAGCTGGTCTTACGTGTGCTCTTTAATCTGTAATAACTGGCACTGGTTCCTGGACATCTTGGTTTCGTTTTTGAATGAAATGGAACAGGGGCGTTTTTGCCCTCTTCCACTAAAAAATAATAGGAGTACTTTGTAAGTTCTGTTACATCACAAGTGAAACAATTTATTTTTCAAGAGAATTTGAGTTAATGAATTCTTTCTTCAATATTTTGTATGAATCGTTCCCTAGAACAAATAAATAGAATTCGGCCCTATAAATCAAACAGGCTATTAGAATTATTTTAGGGATTATGATTCTGCAAAGTCCTTGTGAAAAAATGCCCCTAACTAATTATGTTCTTTTAAAGAATTGCATGGTAAATTGCCTAGCTTAGACCCTGTTACTTGGTCACATGGCTTGCTTGATAAATGCTTTATCTCCACTGGAGCTTTGCTGTGCTATCCTCTGCCGCATGTGGGCAATCTGGACCATCTGAAATAAAAGAGGCCATGGGGAGACAGCCATGAACATCTCACAAGCATGCAGATGGGCATTGGGTATGGCATCTGATGTGATCCAAACATCAATTTCTGATGCAAAAGAGAAAGAAGCAACTGGAATCATTAAATGGAAACGCCCCCCTTAGGTTTTGGTGAATGTTGATGCATTTTTCAACCTGGATACTCAACAAGGAGCCACACGGATCATTCGCGACGACCAGGGTCGAGTTATTGCAGCAAGGAGCAAATGGTATGAGCCCTCCCTAGTGTCATGATTGTTGAAGCTCTTGCTTGCCGGGACAGAGCAGATTTGGCGCACAACATGAACATGTCGAAGGTGGTAATGAAAACTGATAGCCTTGAGTTGATTAATTTGTGGAGTAGTCGTTAATAGATCATGTATCCTCCCCGCTGTTGGATCAAATCCAAGATCTTACTAGGGAGTGCATTTCTTTTGAGTTTAATCATGTACTCCCTCCGTCCGAAATTACTTGTCGCGAAAATGGATAAAAATGGATATATGTAGAACTAAAATACGTCTAGATACATTCATTCTTCCGACAAGTATTTCCGGACGGAGAGAGTATGAAGAAAGGTCAATATGTGGAAATCTAACTCTGATCCCAAGTTCAGACGCTCCCTTTGTGAACAGTATATTCGAATTAAACAGCTGACACATTCAGAAAAAAATCTTTAAAAAATACACATCGAAGATAAAAAACTCTTCTAGCTGATTGCAACTTCTCGTGCTCAGATGACATCCAAGGAGCTCGATACAAAAAATAAAATAAAAAATTGGCTCGAATCTTTGTTGCAACTTTGTACATTTTGGAGCTCTGATTTTAGGTTTTTTGGGTTGAGCTCCTCCGGTGTCATCTCCATGCGGAAATTGCCAGCGCCTAGAAGAATCTCGTCTTTGATGTGCATTTTTTTTAGATTTTTCTGAATTTACTGGTTCACAAGATGCACTCGAGCACAAAAATGCACTTTTTTTTTCTCGTGTTAAAAAAAAGCCACTCTCAGCCAATATGGCTGCTCACTACACAACCAAAATTGTCTCAAAACTGAATGTTGTGAGTACTTGGGTGTATCAGGTTCCTACAATCCTGCATGCCTGTATGTACTCCCTCCGTTCCTAAATATAGGTCTTTCTAGAGATTTCAACAAGTGACTACATACGGAGTAAAATAAGTGAATCTACACTCTAAAATATGTCTATATACATTCGTATGTGGTGGTTCATTTAAAATATCTAAAAAGACTTATATTTAGGAACGGAGGGAGTATCCAACATGATTCCCATGCTGACAGTGAGTAATACATGGATGTTTGTTTCTCAAAAATAACATAAATCAAAATATGTGATCCTAATGCAAATCTTGTTTAAAATTTCCGGGAAATACATAAACTAGGCATAACGACCGTCCATTAGCCTAACCTCTGAACCAAGCATTTTCAGTTCTCATTTGAGCTTGGATGAACAGTAAATTCCGAAAAAATGAAGGAAAAAAGTTGAAAATTTCTAATTTTTTTGGTGCAAACTTGGATAAATGTTCTCAGTGTTTGCAAAATTTCAATGAAAAAAAACACTCCAAAATGCTTTCGAAAATAGCATCTTTGGAGTGTCGGTTTTTTTATCACGACTTCCATGAATGTTATTTCGGGATAAAAATTTGCAAGCACGGAGAACATTTGTCAAAGTTAGCACAAAATGAATTCAGATTTTTTTTTTAATTTACTGTTGATCAGGGAGCATGTGAGCTCGGTACTGGATACTCCACGTCCGCTAGCTCCCACCATTTCATTGTGTCACGTCAAGGTGGCGCTCTCATCATGTCTATCATTGCACATGTGTCGTGTCCTCGTGTGGGTCAGTCTTGTCCAAACGCGTGATCCGTGCTCTCCAGATACTATATCCCGACATCGCCGATTGACACATACTAGGCCGGTGGTACGCGTGACTCGTGCCCCCGCCCACGCAAATTTGAGCGAAATCCACGAGCAACACTGCTGGTAACCTGAGAAAGAAAAACGGAAGTAAAAAATCAAAACCACCAACCGAGAAGACACGAGTAGAGCCGAGACGATCGCAGTTGCACCACACGTGGCCAGCCCACACCGACGTGTGGTGGTACCGCTCGAAAGCGAGGGGATCACACACACACACACGCGCGAAGGTAGATCGATCGATTAGAAATCAGATACATGCATGGCATGGACCATTAGCAAGTGCAACGCCGCTAAGCTTCGCTGTCTCGCCAATGGACTGGAGCCTCGTCAGCTCGCCTGGATGTGCCGGCCGCGGCCTCGCTCGATCGGAGACGTTCGACGGAATCAGTTGCGGGCCCCGCGAGCGGCGCATGGGCAAAGAAGCTAGGCGACGCGCGCTCGAGTGGACAGGTCTCGTCGCTGGCCCCACTACCCCGTTATTCATCTAACCATGGACCACACCCGGCATTATTTCCTCCGGCCCCAACTCCATCACCTTTTCCTTATCCTCTCCGATTTCTAACTACTGTTTGATCATCTACCGAAATGGCAATCCCGTTGTTTCCTTGGTGCTACGGGCATGCAATTACTTTTTGGTGCTCCTACAGTGGTTGCTGCCAGCCCACCCTACTTGGACGAGTGGTGCTCGGGAAGTTTCTTCTATAAATAAATGCCAACGAGTGTTAGCTTTTGAGTTGGTCTCATTTTTTTTTTACTTTTTGGTGCTCCTACAGTCTTGTTTAAGCCTGAAAAATGTACACGCAAGAGAGAGAGAGAGGAGGAGGGTTGAGGGCAGTGTTTCATCAGGATCCTTGCGGCGACAAAATATCATACGAAAGATCACACCCAGAATTCCACCTCGCCTGATTCGTTTAGGATAATACTAAACATATGTTGCTTGCTTGGTTGATCCTTATATTACTAGTACTACGATCTCGTCGCCGACAACCACCGCAGATTGATAAAAGTAATGCCGTAATTCGACCCATGCTAATCCGCCTACACCCGCCCGCCCGCCCGCCGCGTCCACCATTTCATGGCTCCTTTTCATCTCTCTTTAAATTTTATTTTGTTACTATTAAATCTTATGCGCACGCCTTTATGTTTCCAGCTCACCAAGATCCATAGTTTAATCGTGCCATGGCTGCTTGAAAGGTTGACGGTTTCGATCATGCATGTGGATGGTGGATGGACCAACAGTTTGCTCCTTTCATAGTCTAGGTAGACCAAAAATGTTTGTACAAAAACGAATTCGAGGCACGCTCCAACTCATCGATCATCTCTCTACATCTACTTATCAGACTATGACATCTTCCAGAGACGCGCGCGGAGAATTAGCGGTGCCGAGGAGCTTTTACTTGATCCTCGCCGCCGGCGCGGCCGTCTGGGACGGGAAGAACCCGACGGCGCGGCACTTGATGATGTCCATCCCGGGGCCGCCGGGCGCCGGCATTGCGCCGGACGCCGATGATGAGGAGGACGGCGACCGCTTGTAGGGCCCCAGCCACTTGGCGAGCATGTACCGGCTCTTGCGCCACGGCGGCACGTGCAGGCCGTGCGCCCGGAGCGACCGGCGCGCGGCGTCGGCGGCCACGCGCACGGCGCGCCCCACGGCCTCCTCCCGCGCGACCACCGCCTTGGCCGGCACCGCGGCCACGACGACCGCGTACTCCGCCGTCGCGCGCGCCACCTCCAGCCCCGCCCGGAAGTCCGCGTCCACAATGTACCTCGCCGCCTTCCCCGCGGCCGGCACGACCACGTCGATGTACTCGTACGTCCCGGCCGTCAGGTTGCCGCACGTCTCCCAGCGCGACCTGCACACGCCGGCGTCGTACCCAGCGGCACGCAGCCGCCGCATCACCGCGCGCCGGAACGCCGCGCCGTGCCCCCGCAGCGGCGCCTCCGCGTCCAGCGCCGCGGACACGGCGGCCGCCAGCCTGATCCGGAAGGGGTCCTCCGCGGCCGGCGGGTCGAGCAGCTCCCGCACGGACGCGGCCGCCTCCGCGGCGCCGTCCGCGTCGTCGGAGTCGTACCCGTCACGTCCTTTCGGGGCCGGCCCGGCCGCGTCGTCCCCGTTGCCGGCGGCGTCCGTCTCGAGGAAGGCCTGGACGAGGTCGGAGAGGCAGGCGGAGGCGTCGTGGTCGCTGCCGCTGCTGGTGCCACCCCCGTCCCCGCGGAGGCGCGCGCGCACGGCGTCGTCCAGGCGGATGTACACGGCCATGCCTGTCCTCTGTCGCCGCCGGCGAGCGAGCGAGAGCGCGCTCTCGGCTTTGTGTGGGTGCGCGTTGTGGTTTGAGCTTAGAGGTTGCGGTGTGCGGTGCCGGGAGGACAGAGGTTGACGCTGGCGGGCCGCGGCTTTATAGGGTGGTTGGCGGAAGGGTTTATTCGGCGGATTAACCTTTGCGTGCTTGCGTTAGTAGGTGACGCTTGGATTGATTACCATTGTTGTCTTCTGGGCGCCGCGGGCTGCGAGAGAATTGAGCCCTGGAATATGCCCCTCCGGTCCGGTGCTACGAGGTTGTGGGGGCAGCTTTAGGTGCCCATAATAGTCACGTACTCACGTCCAAAGCTAAGCTAAGCTAAGCTAATTTAATCGTGCCATGCCACGCCCGCGCACTGGATTAACCAGCTCCACGTTTGTTTGTGGGTTGATTGACCGATGGCTGACAATGTTAAGGAGAAACGTTTACTAGTAGCTCATCTCATGTTCCAGCCCCATCCATGCTCTGGACATGCCAGAGCCGTGGCCTCATGATATCATAAACACGTGGATCCGATCGAGCCAACGAACGCGACGTCTACGTTTTCGTTTACTTCGGCGTTGAAAACATGGTACTGCTGCGATAACGATCGAGGAAACGCTAGTCGTGATAGCAGTGGGGGTAATTTGCATCGGATTATCAGTAGTACCGCGTCTCTTCTAGAAGAGCGTTTAAAAGTTTTTTACGTGACCCTCCTTGACCGCGAACGGGTTCACGGGGTGGCACTATCGCATGGCATATTCGCTGGCCGATTAGGCGGAACGTCTCCTCGTTGAAACTTTCATTCACGAGTGAGTGCCCTGTGCTGTGCGCGTCCTGAAAAGAATTGGAGTTGGGGAGGGGCATCAACGTAGCAGGCAGCAGGGAGGCAGGAGGATATACCCGAGGCGAGGGGCGGGGCCATGGCGCCCCCCGTTCCTGTTCCGCTTCCGGATATGGATATGCCGCGGCATCTATCCTCCCTCTCGCCGCACTGTCGCCGGGTCCGGACGGCCCTACGGCGGGAGGACGGGCGTTCGAGTCTCATTGGGCCAGGTCAGCACGTGCGGATGCGTGCCAGGTGCGTGGCCCCGGACGGGCTTTGGCCCTTGGCGGTGGCGTGGGGACGTGCCCGCGTGCGCGCGCGGCCGCGGGGCGTCGCTGCTGGCCGTGCGACGGGACGGAAAGGGACGCCCCTCTGTCTATCTCTCCGCGTCGAGTCGAGTCTTCCCGGCCCGGTCCCGCCGATGTGGCTGTACGTAGTACGTCTTATCTTACTTGCCTACGAGGTAAGGTACGTACGAGACATGTGCACATGCATGTTTTGCAGTGTTTCTTGCGGGACGGGTTGGGAAAACCAGGTTCAGGTACTGCTCCTCCGGAGCAAAGGTCTGACTTTGTATATGCTCAACTGGTTAGATCAACTGGGCGACGAGGCTCGGAGAAGTCGAGCGCACATGTCCGGCTCGCCTGCTTTTCTCCCTCTTTTTGAAATAGTGACGGACGACTTGGCGTTGGCGGGCGGCAGCTTCTGGGACGGGCTCAGAAGCCAGGGCAACCAAGCATGCAAAACGGTTCTTTTTCTTTTACGTCGAGAGCAAGGGGCGCACGGGCGAAGGACTCTGGCGGACGCGTGAAGTACGTCAAGAGGCGCGAATGGCAGATACCCGTCCCACAGCGTTCATCGGCCATCGGTGGTAGCAGCGGGGCGGCCCGTGCGAGAGAGAACGCCCGGCGCACGACGAGAACCGGTCGAGCACGTAGCCAGGGAGCGGTTAAGCGGCGTCGGTGACCCATGCGGACGGCGAATGATTACTACAGTACTACCAGTTGCCGTCGTAGGGTCTACTCAACAACAAGAAAAAAAAGGTTGCGTCGTAGGACAGGGAGCCTACGTGCTCGGCCACCGGTTTGCTAGCTGCCGCCGTGGTTTGCCTCCCGAACAAACCCCAGCTCGGCAGCTCCCAAAGGCCACTGGGTGCGAGAGCCAAATGAAACCTACTTCTTGGCAGCCTGGTAGGAGTATCCGTTTCCACAAGCTAATCCGCATTTTCCATACATGGTACTAGTAGTACTGTATTTTGTAAGAAGTAACCTGCCAGTATATATTATTCATCATTAAACTAACAAGATGCTATAATTGTGTTATTTCGCAAGAGGTTTTAGCTTTTCACTACTTTATACCTCGGAATCTCTAGAAATGTTTCTTGTATGGTTTGTCTAATGGGAGTGGCTATCCCCGCAAAGAAAAAAAGGGAGTGGCTAGGTCTCAATCAACTGAGATTTAACCAAGTCTCGGTCAAGTGACATAACACGCAAAAGAGAAAAAGAAAAAACTAAAAGGAAAATTTTGGGATCCTAACATAAGATCTCACGGATATACTGAGACTTAGCAAGACTGTTGTCTAATTCGTAGGATTGAGTTGTAAACAAAATGTTCTAAAATGTTACTTCCTCCATTCATAAATATAAAATGTTTTGCTTTTTTTGTGCAACAAATGTAAATAGACGCATGTTAGTGTGTTTCTTCACTCATTTCAGTCAATATTTAGTCCGTATTGAAATATTCGAAATATCTTATATTTGTGAACGAATGGAGTATTTGTGTTGCATTTCGTTTTCAAAGAAATGCTAGCATACATTCAAACCTCTTGGAAAAAAAATTCTAAATTCTCCTGTGGCGCAATGAAACAAAACAAGGGCCTGCAAGATTCTAAATGACATAACAATTCAATCAACTATTTTCTTTCTTTCTTTTGTTACTGCGGTTTGGAGTCATGCAATGCAAAACAAAGAGGCCCTAACCACCACTCTCTTTAAAACTAGGGCATGGTTGGTTGGCTATTAATTTGTGATAGCCTTCCACACTTATGGGCTCAAATTCTTAGCCACACTTTAGCTTGCATAAGGGAATCTTGATATGTGAGGCTTCTCACAGAAATGACCCCGTCTTAGTATCCCATGCATGGATCCCCTTCCATGGTTGCATTGAAATCCGTGCTACTTCTTATCTGTTTTTAGAACTTGTCTTTGTTTCAAAGTGTTCCAATAGCCTTTTCTCCCGTTCCAAAGTGTAGCATAATGTCTAATTGTGTATCATCAGCTAACATGATCTAGAACTGGTTCATTTTTTTTGTTGCTACACAATGAACAAAATAATTGAACGAGACAATTTGAAACGAAACAATTTTGACAGCAAAAAAAGACACAAAAATCAAAGTAATCACGGACGGTGGATCCATGCACGGGATATCTTGTGCATAGTAGATAAACCACTCTCTTTGTTTTAGGGGTGGCCACTGACCAAAACCAAACATCAACCTATTTTTTTTTCTCAAAGTAACCTGGTTAAACTTGCGTGTAGCAAACTGTGGCTAGGAACCAAACCCTAAACCTTGAGTAAGTGGTTGCATTCTCATATTTTCAATTTACGAAACTCCAAAATTACTGTCGAACCATTTCCTTGTAGAACTTTGTTCATGATTGGACTATGACATAATTTATGGACAGAATGCTTACGTTTTTGGATTTGGCGTGTGCAAGCGTGCAAAGTATGAGAGCAATGCGTTGAGCACCTGGCCAGAGATTTGGCCCCGCCAAGCTAGCAATGCATTGTGCATCTGGACGGAGATTTGGACCAAGTGCGATATGACGAACATAGACGCAGGAATGCATCGGGGCGTAGCGCCTCTTGCTCGGACAACCAACCACCAGTCACCCGTGCATGTCTTTAGGGCAACCATCGCATTTTTGTTAGCGAGCGTCGTACCCCTCACGCATCTGGATGGAGAACTGGACTGTATCCCTTGAACGGCGGTGACGTTGACGCTGTCTCACGTCCGTGAGCTGAGTAATTTGCACGAGCATCGCATGCCATGCAACTTTTTCCAAGTAGAGTTTTTTCTTTTTCTTTTGGTCAGGTGACTAGAAGCTGCGATGTGATATTATCGGAGGACGAGGTGGAAAACACACATTAGCATATTATACGTGCACGTGGCATGCATGGCGATCAGTACTCTATTTCTAGGCATCCATCCCATCCCGATTAAGTAAAGCTTCTTTCCCTCTCCCCAGTTGAGCCATAGAAGACTCGCAAGTTGCAGCTAGTCGTAACCTAAAGTATGTTATCTGACGATCCGTGCCCGAAACGGATAGATCCGTCGAGACCTAGTTTTGCCGTGTTTGATGGCCTGCCACTCTGTCACGTGACCCCACTCGCCCCATTCCGCTCCATGTTCTCTGTAGCTCGCATAGTCGCGTAGGGGTGCACAAGATCTTTGCACCGACATAAACAGCTAGCTGCTCGGTATAGATAGTCACCTGACCTCTATCTATCCCGCCCCTGCCCCGCGCGGTCGCGAAGGGCCCTTCCGATCCATGCAGCTATATCGGCTGTAGCATTTGACGGGCGTGGGTGTGATATGCAGCAGTATATGCTTCTCTGACACGTTAATATTGTGGCCTTATCCAGAGGCATGCAGCAAGCTGTCCGCGTAGTATACATGCAAGTGGATCACGCAGATCGATCGACGTGTACAGGGGTCCAAGTTATGCCGTGATTACACCCATCGATTCGAATCTTTCTGGGCGTAGGCCGTAATCGCCCTGGTTTTACGGCGCTCCAGCTGCGTTTGCCTCTCGCTTCGATGAGACGGAAAGGGAGTTTGCTGCCCTTTGGCTCTCTGGGCTCTGGCAAGTCTTCCCAGCCGCCGGATCCCATTCCCACCGCCGCAGCGGACATGTGCACGTATCCTAATTGCTATACTTCTGTCTCGATTTTATGTTTAACAGATCGTGACTCCAGAGCAGAGGTCAGACTCGTGAACTCTCATTTTTCCTCCTCTCCTCAATAAACGGCCTGAGCCGACTTGGAGGACACGTTAAGGACCGAGCTTGTCCCGCTCCCTCGCTCGGTCGAAGAGCTCTCAAGGAAATCATCGGAAGTGCTGTAGCAAACAACAAGAACAATCCTCCTTTTCTT